AAGCAACACAGCAATCTTTGGGCTTGCATGCTTCAGATGTTCCGCTGTAATATTATCCGCACCAGCTGCCTTATCATCAGACAAGTGCATTATTGCTCGATGCACCTCACTAGAAGTGATCACCACAGCATCCTCACTAGCAATGCTTCCCACTACGTAGGGATCACTTGTAACACAATTAAACAATGCAGAATAGTGTTCTCTCCACAGATCAGCAATATTATCAGCCCCAGATACTCCCTCTATGGCACTGGGCAGTGGTGAATTAACCCTATTCAGCGCCCTCACCTCATTCCAAAATCCCAAAACATTATTGTGTGCCAATTTTTCAGCCATAGCATCCGCTCTAATATTCTTTTCACATTTAGTGATATAGCGAACAGCATATTTATACCTTGCCCCAGTGATCTTTTTATTCTCCAGTTCAATTCCAGCCCTGGGTCTACCTACTTGCACCCATTCCTTATATGCTTTTATAGCTTCTGCATGATGTACCGCCACATACTTCTTCCAGCCTGGCTTGATGTTTTTAGCCTTTATACCCGTAAAGTATGATCTACTACTCTCATAGATAGCATCAGCAATACCTTCATACATTACACAAAGATCCCTAGAATGAGAAGTATCCTTACAGTTAACATCCGTACACATAATGGCCTGTCTGGGCAATTTTACCTTACTTAAACCATTATCTGTCATCATACAATATGTGGCAAGATCATCTTTTGAAAGTTTAGCCCAGCACAACTTAACCTTACGACCATCATTTACCCTGTGTGTCAGCTCAGGAAGATTGTTTATATCCAGCAACATAACAAACGGTACATGATCTGTCATAGAATAGTCATATAAGATTTCCATAGATTTCAAGACAGCATGTGCATCAGCAGTGCTAATGCAATGGTCAAGCCATGACATTGTATGCCATGCTTCACTTATATAGGTATAGCTATCTGCTGGTAACAATGACTGACTGGACAATATATACCGACTATCCTCACAAAACTGCAGCATATGCTTAGCAAATGCCGACTGACTGTCCAAGATATCAGCATTCATATCACCTACCACACAAATGGATGTACAGTTATACTCACAAATAAAAGAGTTAATAAAAGCAAGTCTATTCAAATACAAATCTTCATTCTGTACACACTCATATGGCATATAGACATTCAAAATGACAAACTCCTTGTTAGCCAATTTCAAATGAACAGCAATACACCAGTCGATATTTTTTCATATTTGACAAAGCTGCTCCAGAACTGCATCACCACAACATACTGTAGCACTTTACTACTGACAATTATTCATCTGTTTCATTTTCTCACAGTCACTCACGACACTGAAAATCAATCACCGTGTGTTGGCTAAAAACTATGAGCTGACCTGAGTGTCCTAATTCCTTTGAGAAAAACAGTTAATATTTTACTCAAAATCTGTACAGTATAAAAGAAACAGCCATGGAAATTGCAAGTCTGAAGCATGTTACTTAACAAGCATTCAAATCAACAGGGAATAAATTATAGGAAATAGTATCAAATGGAAACCAAAAGAAAACTAGACAGGAGCTAACTGAAGAAATTCTGCTGCTGGTAGACTGCGTACATGGCGTATAAAAAAGGGGAATTTAGAAAAACATACAGATGAAGACAAAAATGTATAAGGAAAGAGAAACAAGTTCACTTCCAGCCTTAGTGCCCAGACAATACACGAACTGACACAGCAAAACATGCTAACAGTAGCTAGCCACAATAATCCACCAAGCTGCCAATTAGCAAGCCAGTTATCAAGCCAGCAAGCTCAGCCATTAATCAGGAGCAGTATATTCAAGAGGTGAATTAGAGTCATTAATCCTAGTTTCATGACTGATTGCAAACCATGCTTCTTTTGTGGAGCATTTCATATCAGTCAGGTTTAACCTATGTGGCTGAACCGAACCCGAACCCAAACATGATTTCTAAAGTCCTGTCTGAACTGTCTAGCCATTACCAGGCCCTTGTCTTTGTAATTTTCACTCCAGAAAAATGCAGGTTAATAGTTTATAAGAGCAGCTACTGTACATCTGTTGCGATTCAGAGTACCTAATTCTGAAGTACACCTATTGCTTGGAGTAATTTGTTGTTCCTCATGATCAGTGATATACTGAACAGTGCTCTTCTCTATCTCTCTACCACATCCATCTAGGACCCTAAGATGCTACTCTTAAGCAACTTAAAAGACCTCTAGATCTCTTAAATTCAGGAGTATTTGAAGTTAAGTTTACTCCTTTGTGAGTAAAGGATTTTTAGTTTTATTTTTCATTTAAATCCAAAATAATCTTAGATAAATATGGCCACAGCAGTCACATTCTGATATTCATCACAGCTCTCTAAATGTTACAAAGGTAATGTGATAACAGCAATAGCAAACTCTAACAGGCGGAAATCAACCATTTCTGTACAGCTGTCCTTTTGCTGTAAAACTGCTGTTACACACACAAAACAAACAAGGCATAAAAAAATAAAATTGAGATTGTGTGTCCTGCTCCTCACTTACCCATCTAGCGTTTCACAACGTGCAACAAGTCTGCTATGAAGTTGACCTCACAACAAGCTTCATTTGGGAGGTTTATGCCTGGCAAGGTTTAGATTAAGTGCATAGATTAAGAAAGCAGAAGCTGAGTTACTCTCCTTTTTTTCCCTTAAATACAAGCAGTTGCAAAAAACAACAGGGGCAACAAAGACAACATAGAACAACATACTGCAGACCATACACAGAGAGAGAACGGGTTTAGCACTGCGCTCTGGTTAATTGGACTGGATGGTGAAGAGTGTGGATGTCCAGTGGGTCTGCCACACAGCCGACTCCACGTCATGTGACCTCAGTGAAGGCGATGTGATTCTGTGGTAGGGGAGAATATGAAAGCAAAGATAAACAATGGAAAGAAGTTCAGTTTGGTGTATCAGAAAACATACAGTATAATATAAATTGTAAAACTAAGCTAGAAATACATGAGGAAACACTCCAAATAAACGAATCTTTTAGGCTCCATAACAGAAAAACATAGGAATCCACACAGAGGGAGATTTTAAATCGGGGATGGTTTAAAGAAAAAAAAAATCTAGCATATTACCCATAAATGTGGTTATTGTGACTCTATGGGTCATGCTAACTCTGCACTTCCCATCTCTGTTCTAGGAATTTGGGGAAGCAACTTGTGCGAGGTGACCAAGATGTAGATGCCTACAAGCAGTTAGCACTAATGACTACTGTAGAGTGGTATATTTGTTATTTTCTGTGATTACTTTAGGTCAGACTCAGAGTCAAATGTATGAAATGATTCACCTAAAAGCCATGTTTATTTGAAAAGCTGCCAGAAGCAAACACAGCTTTCCTGATTTAGGCTGACACAAAAGTCATTGTTACTATGTGTGCACAAAGACCCATAGAGTCACAGCGGCCACATTTATGGATATATGCCCCTGAAATATACTAGAATCTGTCTCAAAACAGACATCCATAACTCCAAAGCACACCATGATAACCACTTATTTTCCTGAAGCCCTAAACAGACCTAGGCCTGATTAGTGACACCCACATCATTTAAAACTAAGAAGTAGCAGCAGGGGTCAGTTGCTTATGGAGACTAAAAACTTTGATTTTCTAATCCTGTATTTAACCTAACCTGGTCATAACCACAGAGGCAGATCAATCATATGGGTCATTTTGAAGGCACTGGCCAGCAGTACTTTGTCATATTAATATACAGTACCAGTTGATATAGAATGAGTGACAGTACACCCTTTGGTAAAACATGGCAGTAGAGAATGGTCCAGTTTTATAATATCATATTATAAGACACAGGACAAGCACATTTTTAAAATAAAAGATTTTTTTTTAGTCTCTATTTAACTGTGAAGGACTCAGTTGCAGTATCTCTGTGCTTATTAACAGCAGACATCACTGCTACTGAGTTCATAGGAGCTTGTGTATGTTACAATTTCTAAATCAGTTGTGCATACAAATGAGTACAAAATGTACAGATCACGTGGATTTTTTCATCCCTTATCCTTTTCATTTGACTACAGGGAGCAAACATTAGCATTTATATTGGAAGAATGTAGCTTCTCATGTTGAGTTTGTGATTAAACAAGCAATCATTCACCCTCCAAAATGATAAAGTGTGATTTTCCTCCTGGGTGTTTTAAAAGCAACGTCTAATCTGTTCAATGTTCTACAGAGTAGATTTAGTACAGTAATCTCATCAAATCATAAGCTTGTTCTACACATTCGATCTTTTAGAGCAATCATACTTATCCAATGATAAATGTATGACTATTGCATCTTCTAGTCGGGTTGCACATGTGGTAGAGATATAAAGATATAATGTGATTTCATTCCACTCCAGCAAAGGAGAAATAATAACAAAACTGAATATGTGGTTGTTTTTTTTGTTGTTGTTGTTTTTTTTTTTTTTTGCAATTCAAAGGTTCCTTCCCGTCCTGGCATTTTGTTCACTGTGGCTTGTTTAGCTTCCAGGCATCTTTAGGCTGAGCTATTTTTAGAGGAGGCAATTTTCCACCAAGCCTGTCGTAGCCGAGGTGAGAGGGTGACATTTCCACTCTTTATCAGAAAACCGAGCGCT